AGGGTCAGAAATGGCCAGACAAGTCTGGGAGGAAAAGAGCAAAATCAAAACCAAGATAAACACTGCACAGTCACCTCCCCACGGGCTCTCACCCACATCTCTTTCAACCAGTCCAGGGCCAGGAAACAAGCCGGGTGTCTCCATCACATGCTCGCTGCCCCCCTGCCTTCCTCAGATCTCCTCTGGCTTTCCATCCTGCTTCCTTCCTCCTCTTCAGACTCCTCTTCTCTCCTTAGCTCTACCCTCCTTCTGGGTGCGGCAGGGAACCTAGAACTTCCCCTTTTCCTGGGGACTCCCCTGTTGCAAAGGAGGGGCACGGAAAAGGACCCCACGCATTCCCGGGGGGCTCCAGAGAGCCTGGCTTTCGTTTTCCAGGTTGAGTTTGTAGGTCTTATGTTATTGGGGCTGGCCCTGTGCCCCCAGGATGTTGGGGTCACCCCAGAGGTGGTCGCATTCTGCCTGGGACTCAGGGTCATCCCAGGACAGGGAGGCAGGGAATGACAGCACCGGCAGCCTCAATTCGCTGAGCTGGTGCCAGTGCACAGAGCAGAAATAATGTCCTGGAGGAAGGTAATCACTCTGCAGCCCAATTACTTGCTGAAAGAAAATGCCTGTTCCGTTGCCAGGGTTACCAAGTGAAACAAACTTGCCCATCCCCAGTCCCCAGAAGGGAGCATTTCTCCCAGGCCTGCCTCTCCCAATGTTGCTTTGCTTTGCCTGGGCTTGGGGGGCCCCCTGAGCTGCCCCTGCCAACCCCCGGGGCCACTCCCACTCCATCGAGATGGGGGAGGACACTCCAGCTCCCTCCCACCTCGCCTCGGGTAAGGGTGCAGCCTGGTGGCTGGGAAGGAGTGGAAGCAACCCGCACCCCACGCCCCAGTGGAGTCACCTTCTCCCCCATGGCCAGAACAGATCAATAATTGTTCATCAGGCAGGCTGTTTCCAAGGAGAAGTGGTAAGTGCTCTGTGGGCCCTGGGCGCCCAGGCGCCCAGCAAAGCCACCTTCAGCCACGTGACTGACCGGTATTTTCCATTTGCTTGCTGCTGGCTCTGGCTGTTCGCTGCTGGCTCTGGCTGTTCGTTCGGCTGGCGCCCTGCCGCCCTGCACCCAATTAGACTGGGCCTGGCATCTGGGGAATTAGGGTTCTGGCTTCCGCCCAGCTGAGTGACTTTGGAAGCAATATTTGTGGGCCTCAGTTTCCTCACCTGTAGAAACACCGCTCACCGTGCATCTGTGTCTGTGTCAAAATCAGGCTGTGTCTCCTGTCTGCGAGCCCGGCCGACCGGTGGGTGCTGGGCTGCCTGGGGAGGGGGGTGGTCTCAGTGCTGCTGCCAGGGCCTTCCGGTGGGCACAGCACCAGCTCCTGAGGCACCTGCCACAGGTGTGCCCAGCACCTGACATGACCTACCTCTCCATCGGGTTCCTTCCAGGAACTCGTCAGCCTTTGTTCTGGGCACAATGGGGTGGGAGGGCTGGGGACATCGCAGCCGAGGTCTGAGGCCTTGCACAAGAAGGGGCACCAAGCTGGGCATCCCTTGCCCCTCCCCCCTGAATTCTCGGAAAGGGAAGCAAAACCCCTCTCGCCTCTTTATCTGCCATTAAGGAAGCTGCGGTGGCTCAGCCCTCAGCGTGCCCCAGGGTCGCCTCCCCGTGGCTGCACCCCAGGGCGGAGGGCTCGGTCCCAGGAACGCCCCCGCCTCCGGCTGTGTCGCCCTTTTGCGGCTGAGAATCTCGACTGGGAGGCTGGCGGAGGCGGCACATTCTCCTCATCTGTCCTGGGGGCGCCGGGGCTGGGGTGCACTTGCAGCGCGCCGGGCCTGGAGGTAGACCTGGGGTCACCCAGTCGGGCCGCCGATGCGGAGGGGCGGGAGCCTGGGCGGAGGAGAGTCGTGGAGCCGCGGGGCTGCCTTCCAGGGCTCCGGTCGCCCCGCCCGCCCCGCCCTCCTGCTGGGGGCTCTGTTCAGACGCGGCAGGTGGGGCGCTGATATGCAAATGTGGGCGGGCCGGGGCGGGCTCCCTCTTGGGTCGGCACCGCCAGGGCGGCGTCCCCAGAGGCAGCTGGAGGATGGATGAGGCCGGAAGGCTGGAACTCGCCGAGGATTAAGGCTTCTGCGGGCGTCGGCGGGCGCTGTCGAAATCCTCGCTGGCAGGAATTCGGCTTCCAGGTCCCTGGAGAGGCTGGGCGCCCCCAGGAAGTGGAAATAATGAGGTTCTGCTTCTTAGCCGTGACCGTGCTCAGCGTGGTGATTTTTGTGACGTTTTACAATGGCCAAGTGAGGCTGCCCAAGAGCCCCTGGGCACAGGACAGGTCCCGAGAGCAGGACAGCGTGGCCGAGGCCTGCGTCGATGCCCTGCAGGGCAAGCCCGCCTTTTTGTGGGGGAGGCCGCCCCCGTCCCTGCTGGACAGCCTCTCCTGCGCGGACTACCTCGCCCAGGGCCACTACGTGTCCACCCCGCTGTCCGCCGAGGAGGCCGCCTTCCCGCTGGCCTACGCCATGGTGGTGCACAAGGACTTCGGCACCTTCGAGCGGCTCTTCAGGGCCGTGTACGCGCCCCAGAACGTGTACTGCGTGCACGTGGACCGCAAGGCGGACCCCGACTTCCAGCGGGCCGTGGAGCGGCTGCTGCGCTGCTTCCCCAACGCCTTCGCCGCCTCGCGGAGGGAGTCCGTGGTGTACGGGGGTGTGTCGCGGCTGCAGGCCGACCTGCACTGCCTGGCGGACCTGGCGGGCTCGGCCGTGCCCTGGAGGTACGTGCTCAACACCTGCGGACAGGACTTCCCGCTGAGGACCAACCTGGAGATCGTGCGCTACCTGAAGAGGTTCCGGGGGCGCAACATCACCCCGGGGGTGCTGCCCCCCTTGCACGCGGTGCCCAGGACCAGGTACGTGCACCGGGAGCACCTGGCCCAGGAGGCCTCCTACGTGATCCGGACGGCGGCGCTCAAGGCGCCTGCGCCGCACAACCTGACCATCTACTTCGGTTCGGCGTATGTGGCGCTGACCAGGCCCTTCGTGGACTTTGTCCTGCACGACCCGAGGGCCGTGGACCTGCTGCGGTGGTCGCGGGACACCTTCAGCCCCGACGAGCACTTCTGGGTGACGCTGAACCGCATCCCAGGTAGGGTCTGCTCGCTTTTCCTGGCACAGCAGTGCACTCTGATGCAGCGGGCGACTAGGAAGGAGTGGCGGACAGCCCTGCGTGGGGCTGCTTGTTAGCCATGGCTTCGCCAGTGCCTGGTCCGGTGCCCCTGTGCCCGTTTTGGGGTCCTGCCCACACCTGCAGAGCCACAGCACAGACTGTTCTAGGACCCCCATCTGCTTCTCCCTGGGGGGCCCTCAGTGCTCACTGTATGTCCACCATAGTCACCCAGCTTACATCTGGGGCCCCAGCAGGGTCTCGAGCAGCCAGGAAGCCTGAAGCGAGGGTGGACACGGCCATGCTACAGCGGCTCAGGCTGGACTTGGCCAGTGTCCTTGCTGGCAAGTACATCCTCTATCGGGTCTGTCTACAGCCTTGTTCTTCTGAGACCGCTTCTTGGGACTAGACAGTGAGGGTCAGGTGACCCAGGCCTGGGGTCAGGGGCCAGCTCCGTGCATCAGTCCTGGGTCTGCTGCTGTCTGGGAATCACTGGCCCACCTGCCACAGCTGCAGGTTGTAGTCACAATGGCAGGTGGTAAATGGAGGTTCGCTGCTTATCAGGCCCCGTGTTCCCCAAGCCCAACCCGGAGGTCTAGAAGGACCCGAGGTGAGTAGTCAGCACGGCAGCCCCTAACCATGGCTGGTGCTTGGAGAGCTGATGGTCAAGGCGTAGGCTGGGGGTGCCTTTGCTCACCCGCCCTTCTCAGCCAGGAGGGGGTCAGGCCTCTCCCTCAGCCTTCCCAGAGGACCGCTCATCAGGCAAGGCAGAAAGGAAGTCAGGGGACAGATGGTTTGGACGGCTGCATATCCAGTGGCCTCTGAGCAGACGTGGGGCTGAGTGGACGGAGGTGAGTGGACAGGGGTGGATGGAGGTGTTAGGGAGGTGGTGGCAGCCTTCTCTCCACCAGCCCCTCAAGGCTGCGGAGCTTCCTTTCCTGTTTTTAACACTGTTTCTAGGAGTTAGCTTATACAATGTTAAAATATCCCCAGGGTTCAAGACTCCCTAACTCAGCTAGCTGCCAACAGCCCGGCTCCCTATTCCTCCTCCAGTTTTTACAGACACAGCCCGGAGCTGTTTAAATTCACCCCACCATCCACAGAGGTACCTCACTAAGACTTGGCTTTCGGAAATCGGCCCAGAGAAAAAAGTTCCCTATGAAGAGACAGAAAAGAATAGAGGCTGGTTAGTTTTGGGTGCCCTTGTGTATGGAAGCAGCTTCAAGAAGTGTTCTTTATTTAACCAGATCCCCGTGGCCTGGGGAACTCCTTG